TTGATATCCGATTCTCACCGCAACACTTGTTAATCAAACACTTTAGAATTTATCAGCTTTACTACTAAAAATCGTGACAATTTATAAACCAAAATTTGAAACCCTTTTTCTTATAATCATAAACTGTTGAAAGGCAAGCATCAAAATATCGGACAATCCATGTGGAAACGATAACAAAAAATCTCCTTTAACTACGATTCGAACACCATTAAACTCAAGCTTTGTCTATTTTTCATTTTCTTCCTTCCATCCTTCATGGCTAGACCATTTGAGAAGATCAGTGATGTCACTGATGTGAAAGAGTTGTGGAAGGTTGCTGTTAAAGTTCACCATAGATGGTCGATTGTCTCCAACAACAAAGAGCACTTCAAAATGATCGTCATTGACAAATAAGTAAGTTGGTTCACTGAGTATTTTGTCTATTTTGATAAAGAACATGCTCTATTTGTTGTTCTGATGTGAATTATTTTTATGTGATACGTTTTTACGGTTACAAATTTTGTTATTTAATGGCGACCATCCCCTCCAACAATTTTGTATTGAGAGACCATGGGTATGTTTCCTTTCTCCCAACACCACATTAAGCTCCATTCTGACTTACTTCCTCATGTGTCACTGTGTAATTAACATTCTTACAGGTATTGTATCAACACCACTGTCAATTGTACTATTTGGGAGACGTATGCTTCCCAATTCATCAAATTCAACCAACAACGAATAAATACCTCTACCCAACTGTCATCTTGCTCAAATACGTAAAAGTCACGGAAGAAGGTAATTGCAACTTCTCTGCTTTTACCATATTTCCTCGACTGTTGTGATTTAATTATTGTATCTAACACACAAATATAATATATAATGTAGGAAAATATCCACTATTTGTTAAAAACATGTACAACACAACCAAATTGTACATCAATGCTAATTTGACTTCAATCAAGTAGTTTATTAATAGGCGCCAACAACACAACCCACTTTGTTTTATTACTACTAACAACATATTTATATTATTTATAAACCAAATTTTCCTAACCTTTTGATATAGCATATCTACAGACACTTTGGCTAACATCGATTAATCTGAAGGTTTGTGTAATGACACAAGGCTGATCATAACAAAGATGGTGAATTATGTCCTTGAGGTGACAATCATGGCCAGAAAAGGATCTGGAAAAGTTGTTTACATCCCTATAATGGATATGTCACCCTCCCAACCCCCTTGGCTATTCAAACTTAATCGACGTCAATTCCTAATAATTGTATCATATGCAATGATGATAAAACAATCCCAAGGCCAATCTTTGTATTGGGTAGGACTTTGCGTACTTAGAGATGTTTTCACTCATGGTCAATTCTATCTGCATTATCCAGGGTCACAATCAAAAAAGGAATAAAAATCTTGATACGCGATGAAAGTAACAATGTCAAATCTACAACGACAAACATTGTATACAAAGAAGTTTTCAACAATATTTTAATTGTCTGAAATTATAGTTTGATTACATTTTGTTGGATGTCAAAACATATATATTTTTATATTCTATCCATAACGCTTTACCTAATCTGATTTTTAACGTTTTAGTGTTGATGCATTTTATATGTGGACTTATACCATTCTGGTTCTTTTACAGGTTTCGTTGGTGATTTCAATCCTCCAGTTCAATATTTTTTTTATCCCAAACCACTATCTACATCTCACATATTTATTTTTTAGCCTATTTTTTGATAACCTACATTGCTGAACATTTAGACTTCATGTCTGCAATTTACTGCTTCAACATTGACGAATTTTGTTGACTTATATTACATCATCTATATTAAATTTTGTGTACATTGGATCAACCCTTATGTATTGTATTTTCAGGCAATATATTGACTTCATTTCTTATTTTAGACCATTAAAATGCCTTATATGATGCAATAAACATAATGTTAATTTAACACTACCTCTGGTTGTTGGACTGACTTAAACATAATTACTATAATCATATATTAAGTCCTTCCAATTGGTTAGAAATGTGCTGTTTCAAAAAACATGTTCTCTATATTGTGACACATAATATACATGTAGTAGCTATGTTCCAACAATTAGCTTAAAATATATTTACATTGCAGAAAATATTCACTTAAACAATGCTTCCAACAATAAAACAATACTTATACATCACCATTGTTTTCTTAATAGATTAAATCAATTTGTTTGTTACGGCTCATCCTTATCCATTACCTAAAAATTCAACCCAATTTCTGCAATATAACCAATACAATATGTTATCTATACCTTTTACCAAAGTTTATAATCCTACTTTCCCTTTCTAACCTTTTTAAGAATGAATTAACCCTTCAAACTTGTCATACACTAATACACACCATCATAATATTCCATTCAAATACCAACTATGTTAATATTTACATTACTACACATATTTATAACTTCAACTTCTACATATCACATTAAGTACCACACTTACTTAACAATCACTACTAATAATAGTTTTGAAACATAATTGAAATAACATTACTAACTCTGAAGAAAACACAACATCTCTCCAAAATCAGTCAACGTATTACATAAACTACATAATAATAATAATAATAATAATAATAATAACAACTTCGTCACAACTCCAACAATAAAACAATTACTTTCACAGAGTCTTCACAAATGATCCATCTAACCTTCCACCAACCAGTAGACGTAATCTCTTCGACAACACCAATCGTTTTTCCATTGTTATCAACGATTAACAACAAATACATACAGATAGAACCTCTCCTTTTTCACAATCTTATTGTTTTTTTATAGCACTGTGAACCTATGAAACTCAGAAAATCTAACTAACAAATTAATCATATTAACATCTTTACCAAACAACACTGAAATCAAACAAAATGAACATTTTACAACTACTTCATAGTTTATATTACTTCATCATACTTTAACATCACACATTGTTATCATCATATTATTAAACCATCCAACACATTAACTGTCAAAATAACTAATCATAAATGAAAAACCACCTTAACAAGACTGCAACTTGATTGTAAAATACTAAAAATACTTTGCGTAGACCATACTAACCATTAACTACATAACAAAATTATGTAGGAACTTGATAACATTTTCTCCAACACCCATTACTACCAATGCGACTTTTGATCAAAAATAACTTCTAAACATCTTCCATAGTCTTCAGAAAACAACAATTAACTACTTTTCAACGGTTTAAATACATAAAAAGACAACCTGGAGGATCACAAATCGTAAAACCTAGCTTGTCTCCTATTCGGAGGCTCTTCTTTTTCGCGTATTCATACTAACCTTTACCAATGAATTTATTCACCTTTACCACCTTTTTGTTTCTTTTAGCACAATGCACTTCCCCGTACCTATCTCCAGTATCTGCATCCATAATCTCAATAGCTTTCTGGTTCCACCATAGATACTTCTTTGTCACATACATTGGAAAATGGTGTAGCAATTAAAATATGCAATCACATATAGTGACCTAAAAAATACAATCATGTGGCTTCATTCAACTATAGAGAATACACCAACATACCAAAATATTTTTCTTGACTTTGTATTTAAAACTCACGATCTTCTCCCATGAATACTTATTTTTTTAGTCCTCATCGTCACCCTCATTGGACGGACTACTGCGAATATGTAAGTTAGGATCATCTAACACCTCTATCAGATATGTCTTGGGAAATGCAATAACATCAACAAACAACTTTATTTTTCATCTGAAACTTAAAGTAACAACAACAACTTTAACATGCATTCGAACATCTTACTTGCTATTTCCACTTGAGATGGACATTTCCACTTCAGCTGGTTTCTGATCCGTCTTATTTTTTTGCGAAATCATAAACACCTTTTTTTGTGAAGTCATGTTTGCATTTTTTTGCTTCAGCATGCAATGCATCCAACATTTTTCTTATCCAATCTGGATCTCTTGAGCTTTTTGCAGACGCTCTGCAACAACACACAACATGCAAAAAAATTACCCTTAACACGTTTCAACTATCTAACTCTACATGCAACACATTAACCAAACCATCAACGACATGAATAACCCATTATAACTCCTGCTGCAACATGATAAAAACAAATAACATACTCGATTTTGTGTGATGGATTTTTCAATGAAGATATTTTGGGTTTTGGAAGTTGATAAAGAGAAAACGAGGCAAGGATTGTGAAACGTTTTGGTTGCAGATAAAGATAATACAATTTTGGAAATTACAAACTACATAAAAAGAAAACGTTTGATGTTATTTTTATTGACTATTTTCTGTCTTCAACTTAGCCAATGCATTATAGGAGATTCTTATCGGGGCCCAACTTTTTTTCAACAATACATGACCTAATTTTATTGTTCACTTTTGTCCCATTTGAATTCAAACAATTCTTGCTTCTCAACTTCACTTCATTATTTTATTTAATTGCATATTTTCTATTTTTAGCTTTTTTTTAATATCCTCTTTCTTACTTAATATTTTCTTTTACACTTTTGCTATTTTTATCATTCTTAATTTTTATTAATATTTTGTTTTTTCTCATAATATTTTTTGTCTCAATATTTAAAACATCAAATGAAAATTAAATATACCACACCAATATTCGTGCGAAATTCCACTCATTTTTGAGATAATATATCATATTAGAGACTAAGGGTTTATTGGGGGTATGAAGTAATATATATATTTTTTTGTATGTTACTTATGGATCGGCCCATTACTCCTTATTCAGTCACCCAACCCAATTGAAAAACATAAAATCAGAAAACCTAATATCTTCTCCTTCGTGCGCCGCTCCATCTCTTTTCACTCTTGCTCTCTTAGCTGGTAACCTTCGTTCTTCTCTCATTCTACTCATTCCTCTTTGTTTTTTCATCATTGCTTCAATCTTATTGCAGTATCTCAATTTTCTATAATTAATTTCGTTAACAGGTATACGATTTATCGTTGCCAAGTTTCTGGTATCGAAGATGAGGTATTTCTTTCTCTTCATTTTACTGTTAATGTTCACTTTTTAAATGTTTTTATGCATTTTATATGATTTTTATCTTGATTTGACGAAAATTATTGTAACTTGAAGATTAAATTGATAAACAATTTGTTTTTTTTATTGATAGCTGATGTTTAGGTTTTCATTTTTAATGATTTAATTATGTTGATGAAATTATTCAATTAGAACAAAAGTGGGTTGAATATTTTGGTGTTGATTCTGTAGTAAGCTTTCGAGTGATGCTGTGAGAGAAGCTATTACCGGAATCATGGCTGATTCCAAGGAGAAAAACCGGAAATTTGTGGAGACTATTGAACTCCAGATTGGGCTTAAAAACTACGATCCTCAAAAGGATAAGCGTTTCAGTGGTTCTGTCAAATTGCCTCACATCCCTAGACCTAAGATGAGAATTTGCATGCTTGGTGATGCCCAGCATGTTGAGGAGGTAACAGTTTGATATTTTACTCAAATTATTACGGTCCGTTGGGTCGATGCTTAGGTTAAACATTTAGCGCTGTAGTACAAATAAGAGTCTCTTTTGTGCGTTAATTTTCTCATTTTACTATGTTCCCATTCATTTGTTTGGTATTGACTGTTTTTTTTCTTTCAAATAGCTTGAAATAGCACTATGTTTTTGTCTTTTGTGATTTAGGGTATGTTTGTATTGGTGGAATGTGTATATAATGAGATTTCATTGTTTGGATTTGCAAAATGATGGATGGAGTAGAATGGAAGATGGTGTAATTCATTCGATCCTATTCCTTCCAATTCTTCAATTTTTGTTCCCTCCAATTTGGGGTCTATGCAACGTGATGAACTAATTTGTTTGGTTCAGTTCTGTAAAATTATAAAAAGTACACTATAATCTCTGTTTTATTCAGCTCCACTATATTCCATAATGTTCCATTTGGCTCTGCTTCGCTCTAGTCTATCAATCCCAACATTTTAGTTATCACAATTCAACAATGTAACGAAAATCATTTAGGTTTGGTTGTTGTGATTTTGCATCAGTTTGTGCTTGGGGTGTTTTTTTTCTATTATTTGTTATTAGTTTCTTGCTAAGTTTCTTGCTTTAATGTTTTATACTATAATCTACACATTGAAGGCTGAGAAAATTGGACTGGACTCGATGGATGTCGAAGCATTGAAGAAGTTGAACAAAAATAAGAAACTGGTGAAGAAATTGGCAAAGAAGCACCATGCTTTTTTAGCTTCTGAAGCTGTTATCAAGCAGATTCCTCGTTTGTTGGGCCCTGGTCTCAACAAGGCAGGCATGTCTTTTATAATTTTTGGGTTTAGCATTTGTACATTTCAAGAAAATTGTGATTTGATACCTTTTCATTATTATCCGTTTTGCATTGCTGTCATTTTATTTATATTGGCAACTTATTTTTTGTTTATCTGTCATGTGCGGAGTACTATATGTATAGATTATTTTTAAATTGCTTACTGTATTTGATTCATACCCTACCTCCCATCATCTTTTTCATTCAGTAAATAGGTTAATTTCAAAACACTGCCATGATATGTTCCTTTTGAACTTCAATTGTTATTTCAATTGTTACATTGGCTGATATTGATAGTATTGCTTTACAGGAAAGTTTCCTACACTTGTTTCCCACCAAGAATCTCTAGAAGCCAAGGTTAATGAGACTAAAGCTATGGTCAAGTTCCAGCTTAAGAAAGTGCTTTGCATGGGAGTAGCGGTTGGTAATGTCAGTATGGATGAAAAACAGATCTTCCAAAATGTACAACTGAGTGTTAACTTCCTTGTCTCCTTGTTGAAGAAGAATTGGCAAAATGTAAGTATTCCACTCATAACATTGTGTATACTCATCAATGTGTTATGCTGGTTATCTGACTTGTTGCATCTTTGGACGATGGCCAGTAATAGGGCACATCCATTTGATTGTGTAACTATAAAGTAAATAAGTAATAGTCTTGACATATGCATGTTTTAGATATTCATATCCATATTGCTTTTGATATTCACAATGCATGTTTTTCAGTTGTGCTGCTATGAATTGTTTTTGGTTCTATTCTTTGCTTTATAATATTTAATCTGGTTGAACAGGCCATCCATCTAATGTATTGTTGGTTTCAGGTTAGGTGCTTGTTTCTGAAGAGCTCCATGGGCAAATCTTACCGTGTCTTCTAAAAGGTTTTGTCTTTTAAATTTGGCGTATTTGAAGTTGGGCTTGATATTTTGGTTACTGTAATAGCTGAGACAGTAGTTTTCCTTTTTCTAAAATTTTGTTTGATAAGATTTTGAGTATTTCTATCTTGTATTGTTATTGAATGATATTTAATTGCTTAGCAAGGTTGAACTTCATTCAGCTTTTTTGTTCTCTTCTCACTTCATGTCCATTTGTTGCATCTTTTGCTAAGCAATCCATCGGTCTCCTATACTAGAATAAATCACTCTTAAGCCTATGTTTTTTAGTGGTTGTATCTCAATTTTTGCACGAAAGCCCAAAATCTTACCTTTATAACTCACATTTCATTCCTAGATGAAGTTGAACGAAATATAAGGATCGATGATTTTAAGAATACGGGAACGTAATGGTTATTATGTAATGGCTATATCTATGAGGGAAGCACCCCGAGATTTTTCTACTTCAACTATTCATTTGTGGTTCAAAAATATTAAGTTACATTTCAATGAGTTTGTTGATTTTTTTGATGTGTACGTTCGGTATAAGGGCACCATAATTGTCCACTAACAGTTAAAATAAAAGAATTTTCTCCAATAATATTCAATTACATGTAGGGGTGACAAAGTGAATCTAATCCGTTTGAATTGGTCTGTTTGACTAACCAATTTTAATAGGTTGGGCTAAGGTTTTTGCCTGTTCCACCTCACTCAGTTTAAAAAAATGGGATAGGGCGGATTTTACATGCGGTCATTTTGTTAAATAATTTTTTTACTTAGGATTAAAATAATTTTAACTATACAAATAATACTTTTTTTTAAAATTATGTTGATTGAATTCTATAATAATTTATTATAAAATAAATTAAATTATAATTGTAACGTTCTTTTTATACTTTCTAATAATGTGTTGATTGAAAAAATTTAAAATAAAAGAACAATTGTATAACATGCTGAATTATATTTGAAATAAAAGAATAATTGTATAACATGCTGAATTATTAAGTTATTAAAACACTAGTTCACATTTTTTTTTTAGAAATAGATGTTGATTTTAAGAAAATGAAGGATTTGATTGCATATGTGTGACAACCTTAGATGTAAATAGTGAAAAAGTCATGTGTTATATTTTATGCATTACTATTTTATGCAGTGTAATTGTTATCATTGTTTGTAAATTCTTATTTGGGTTCTTTTAATAGTTAGTTTTTAAATAGGATTAGGATAATATGTATTGTTTATTTATTTATTTTGATATGTTTTTTTTAATTGTGTTTGAGTTTTTTTTTGCTATTTTTTTTTGTAATTGACCTTTATTTATTTAATTTTTTGAATTGTTTGGATTTAAGATATTATGCGTTGTTAAAATTTTTTTTTGTCGACCTCTGTAGTAATAAATAATTTTGTTGTAAATTATGTAGTAAATTAAATTGTAAAATAATAAATTAAGAATTAGTGAGCTGACCCGCCAACTCGTTAGTAAATTGGATGAACTTGTCTTTTGAATTTGAACGCCTAAGTTAGTTCTCCTCGTTTTTGGACGGATTTAAACAAGACCAGTCAAAATGGAACAGGCCGTCCACTTTGCCACCCCTATTCTATATTTAATTGTAGAGTAGTTTTTAAACGGATTTAAACAAGACCAATCAAAATGGGACAGACCGTCCACTTTGCCACCCCTATACTATATTTAATTTATTTAATTGTAGAGTATATTTCAATACTATTAAGTTCATGTGTACATATTATAAATAGAAGAGTTAAATGGACATCCAAAGCAATGCAAAATTGTTAATATAAAATAGTTTTACGCGGTTTTCATAAGACAAATTTTAATTTGAAAGTTATTTCACACATTAAATAGATGAAATATAAAAAATATATAGTTTTATACTATTCCCATAAAACAAATTTTTAGTTGAAAGTTATTTCACATATTATATAGGGTCTATCTGCCTCAGTTTAAAAGAAAACGAATATTTCCTTTTTATTTAAAAAATAAATTTTATTAACTTTTTTTAAATGTTATAAGTTTTTTATATTAGTTTTTTTTTTTTTAAATTGAAATATTAATTTGGAATTTCTATAAAATAAACATATATTATTAAATATTAAAACATAGTTAAAATCACAATTATTTTAAAAGTTGTATTTCAAAAATAATTTTTTATAAAAAAATATTTAAAATAATTTCAAAATTAAGTGATTTTTTTTTTTGGAATTTTGATATCCAAAATTCTTTTTAATAAAATAATAAAATATCTAAAATAATATAAAAACTAAATTTTTACTTAAAGCTTTTAGAAAAAAAATTATAATTTTTTTTACACAATTATATTATACTATAAAAGTTATTTTAAAAAAACAAAACAAATAAGCCCATAAATCAAAGGCATAAAATATATAGTTTGTGTCCGGATAAGACAAAGTTTTAGTTAAAAATTATTTCACACATAATATATAAATGAAAGAGAAAATATATGAGAAAACAAGATATATTTATCATGTAAATTAATTTTATATTGTCAACCAATAACTATCTTGCAATCAGAGTGTGATTTTTAAGCTTGTGTTATGATATGATTGAGTTTGCTAAATCAGAGTGTAATTTTAAAGTTAGTGTTATAATGTGAGTGAATGGCAAATTTTTATTGGACTTATAGTATAAAACTATTTTATATTGAATGTGCATAATATATATATATATATATATATATATATATATATATATATATATATATATATATATATATATATATATATATATATATATATATATATATATATATATATATAATAACCATGTTTTTTAAATAAATTTTTTAAATAATTATATTTAAAAAAAACAAAGTAATTATTTTTTAAACAAAAAAAATCTTTCACAAGAGGAGTAGTCAAATAGTATGACACATGCACTCACTTTTTGAACATATGCACCATAGGACATGGCACATGCTTATATGTCATACCATTGCCTATGACGCATGAATGCATGCATCCTCTAGGAGTATGCGCCATAGCCAATGGCTACTTATTGTTTAGGTTTTTATTTTGATTTTTATTTTATATATATATATAAATATATATATATATATATATATATATATATATATATATATATAAATATATATATATATATATATATATATATATATATATATATATATATATATATATATATATATATATATATATATATATATATATATATATATATATATATATATATATATATCCCTTCCCTATCATTTTTCACCCATTTTCTAATTCTCTCCTTAAATTTTTTTTCAAAATGTCTTGCTATATTATCAAGAGAAATGTCAATTTGATTTATTCAGTAGTAAAACCTTCGATGAAGATCCGACTCTGGAACACGAAGACTTTCGAGCATCTTTAGAGGAGCTTGATCTGTTCGTTAGATGGACACATTGCAGACAATGAAAAGATCGAAAGAATTCAAAGGCTTGTTACGATGTACAACGACAATGGAGAATGTTGTTTCTGGGATTCAGTTAAAATTGACACTGATTGTCGTATTATGATGCTTAGTTGTGAGAAAATTGTCCTGATGGTTTTAATCGCATAAATATGTTGTTTAGTCGTTGTATTTGTTTGTCTTGTTATTAAGTTGTTTAGTCGATGTTTAAATTGTTGTAATCGAATGTTGTAATATTTATGAAATGAACGTTGTTTTCAATATCAAATAAAATGGTTGCATAAAATAAATTACATATAAAATGTAGGACTAAAAGAGGATTATTGAATTACGTTGTGGAGCTTGCTCCTACATTGGGACAATTTGTACGATAATGTCTGAGTTGACGACATGAGCTACATAATTTCACCATTTTGTTTGCCGTATCCATTTCAGTTCGAATACGTGTGCTGTTTGGGCGACCCTTTTTCTTTCTTCGCATATTTTCATTGAGCGAAACTATCTCCTCTTGATATACAGGTCATTAATCCTCCTTAGCTACCACCGGAAAGTTATTGTTGTACATATTGTATAAGTTTATGACTTTCTAAACGATAGATAATAAGTTGGAAGGGTCTTGCCGAAACTTTGAACATACTGCTATGACATGGGAGCAAGGCATACGAAAGGCTTGGACTTTCTGAAATTGCGCCAACCTTTACCTAGTTTGACTTGATAGTATCCCATTGGCCTCTCCTTATTTTGGTCCATTGTCTCATATACACTAAATCAACCTTTATGGCGGTCAAACATTGTGGCCACATGTGTGTTAGCTTTGAGAGTTTCCTCCTTAATGAATTTCATTGAAGTTTCACTGAACAACTACCCCGACTGTAACATTGAAATCCATTTTATACGTTTGATTTCAAATAGTGACCCTAACCTAAAATAGGATGCTCTCACAAAAGCGGTTATCAGTAGGTTTCATATGCCTTTGAAGACAAATTTCATAAATTCCACGAGATTTGTTATCATGTGTCTCCGTCGTTGACCATTGTCGAATACCATGGTCCACATCTCCAATGGAATATCATCGATTCATCTTACTGTATATGCATTTTTCAATTTGATCTCTTCGCGGTAGTGTTTATAGGAAGGTTCTATTAATGCATACCCTGCGTTCATGACCTTTTTCCGTAGCGTCTTGTCTTTGATCTCCCACATGAAATTTTGAGTGATGTGTCTAATGCAGTATACATGAGTAGAAGGAGGATCTTACCCGATGTTATCAAGGTTTTTATAAGCACTCTCAATAGATGGATGTCTGTCTGAAATCAAACATAAGTTAAGTTGAGGAGCAATATGTAATTGTAAATTTTCTTTATAAAAAAAACTCCATCCACCAGTAGTCTCCCTTTCAACCAGAGTGAAAGCTATTGTAAAAATATTATTGTTGCCATCTTGTGCCATTTCCATTAGTACCATTCATTTATATTTACCATACAACCATGTTCCATCAATTTGTATAATAGGTTTGCAAAATGAAAAACCTTTGATGCATGACTCATATGCCTAGATGAGTTGGTGGAAT